GGGGTAATAGTACACCTAGCACAGCAGCCAATGGGGGCCCGGGGGTAATAGTACACCTAGCACAGCAGCCAATGGGGCCCCGGGGGTAATAGTACACCTAGCACAGCAGCCAATGGGGCCCCGGGGGTAATAGTACACCTAGCAAAGCAGCCAATGGGGCCCCTGGGGTAATAGTACACCTAGCACAGCAGCCAATGGGGCCCGGGGGGTAATAGTACACCTAGCACAGCAGCCAATGGGGCCCCGGGGGTAAAGGGTTCACTACAAGCCGTACTGTGCGGCCCGACATCCACCAATGAGCTGCTCTGTGATTGGCTCTAATGAGGGAAATGTAATCACCAAATAAATCAATAACCCAACTTTATACATGGAGGAGGAAACACCCACTGATAGACCCCACCCACTGTTATGGAAATTCGCTTGGTTCAACGCACAAATACATACTGCGCTAGAGTGCGCCAAACACAAAGAATGTCCCCCGTGCCTGGAAGCACACAGCTGTACTGCGCTCTTTGTGCGAGGACTGGCAGTACCTCTGTAGAGTCAGGACACAGGTGCTGCTTGCTAATCCCACGCTAAGAGACAGAGCACAGGTATGTATGTGTTTATTGTTTATACCTGCCCAACAGGAAGTGATGTCTCAAACAGCAAACCAGGAAGTCATTTCAAACAGGAAGTGATGTCAACAATCACTTCAATACACAGCCAGTCAACAAAACACATGAATACAATAATCTCTGACCACCGGAGTGACTTTATGCAGCGCGGCGGCTCAGTGATCAATGCCGCATAACGTTACTAGGATCCTCATGCGTGCGTATTATCTCCAGCGGTTGATCAGACGCACTAGGGACAATAAACGCACGTTCCTTTCATATACTGCGTTCCAAACAAATGTATCCACGCAAGCCAATACATCCATGCATTGCACGGGGGGGCCCCAGCCGGCGTCCATACATTCGCCAAGAAAGACACTGCTCCGCCGCGCATAAAATATCTCTTCCAATGGTTTAACCCCCAGCGCCGATTTACACCGAGACGCTGAGAGACTAATGACAAAATATTACAATGCACTAAAACCACATCCTAATAAAATGTCCACAACAACACTGATAGACCACACCCACTGATAGACCACACCCACTGATCAGAGAGTGCCCAGGGAACCAATGAGCTCCCAGAAATCTCTCCTCAATAAATCCGGAATGGGATCTAATAACGCTCCAAGATCCGAAACATCGCTCAACGATAACGCTCAGAGACGCACACTGATGACGCACACTGATGACGCTCAGAGACGCACTGATAACGCTC